TGCTGTCCATTCTTCATGTCTCTTGTCCCTTCATTCTCTCCTAGGTTGGTTGCGACCCCCATTGACGGTCCTGCTGGACAGGGTATGCCCAAAGGAAATTAAAATTACCTATGAGAAGGGGATCTGTAATCCTATATTTAGAGCAGCACAATCTATAATAGCAAACAATGGAAACAATCCAGATCCCCATCCAAACAGGAGTGGTTAAAGAAACTGGTACATCTACTCCATGGAATATTACTTAACCATCAAAAAGAATGAAATGATACCATTTGCAATAAGATGGTCCCAACTAGAGACCGTTATGCTCAGTGAAATAAGTCGATCCCCAAAAGACAAATACCATATATTCTGTCCAATATAAGGAAACCATCATGCAAATTGGAATGTACAGAGGTAGAGTAATGGAGACTACCATATCCTGATGAAGACACAACACAACAGGCATCCCTACTTCCAAGTCAAAGGTGGACTCCCAATGAAACTGTTGGATACATCTAGGCAATGGGATGATGGATAAATAACATTATCTGACATCATCTGTACCAGCAATGTTGGGGCACACATAAATAACAGACTGATGGAATTATAACACCTTATGAAGGACTATACTATTATAACAATATGATAAAAATCAGCTGGGGCATGGGAATTTTGGGAGGTGGGGTGGGTGAAAATCCCAGACTCTACAGAATTGCATCATTAAATTCAAAAATAAAAATAAAGGCAAAAACTAGCACAGGGTCAGACAGAGAAGGCGCCCTCCTGCCGTTTCACTTCCCCAACACCTGTAGCAGCCATGGACTCCAGCCAGTTCTCGCAGGTGGCCGGCAGGAACCCACTCACCTGAGCCTCCCCCGGCTGCCTCCCAGAGTCTGCGCTGGGGCCAGGCACTGCGGCTCGGTGTCAGACACTGGCATTTTGACGCGTCATGCAGGTCTCCCCACAGGCAGCCCTGCAGCCAGGCCAGATGCCCACAGCCCCTCTGCTTTTCACCTGCTTTCTGCCCAGGGCTTAGACTTCTGTCCCTTCTCTCCCAGGCAGACACGGCTTCTTTCCCCCTTTTCTCTGGCTCAGGGACATCATGGCTAAGCATGTGTGACACTGCCAGCTCTGCCCACAGCCACTGTTCCACCACAAGACATCACCCCTGCTCTTCAATCCACGGAGATGGAGTCATTTCTTTCCTGACAGGTTGAAGACAGACACCTAGCAGGCACCCACATGGGAAGGCCACGCACGTGCTGCGGTCTCCCCGGCCACACTGCAAAGAAGGGGTTCTACCTCAACCACGGGCAACAGGGAGGAGCCTGGAAGTCACGATGTCAAGTGAGATCAGGCAGCCACACACCCTAACACGGGTACCACCGGTAGAATTTACTCAAGGCTAGCAGCCTGACCCACGGGCACGGAGGGGACAACAGTGGTCGCCAGAGCTGTCCCCTGGCAGTACAGTTTCCAGCCTGCTCAGGGCACCAATCCGCAGAGGCCGGACCGCGTGGTGTCTCCTCGAGGAGTGCCTACCACTCCTTCCAAAGCCAACCAGCAGCCCCGGGAGGTGTGGGTGTGCACCCCACTGAGCGGACAAGGCAGCATGGCGCGTGCTGGCGTGTGTCCCAGGTCACAGCGCTGCGAGTGAGACTCCCATCAGCAAGTATCCCGCAGAGCCCACCACCTCAGGGGCCGCCCACCCTGGCAAAGGCGGTCCTGGGGGGCCCTGGGGGTCTCCTCCTCCTCCTGGCCTGCTTCCGCCAGCAGCCCAGGCCCTTGGCGTGTGCCCTTGCATCTCACAGCCACGCCCTGGGCACCGCGCCTTGGTTTCCTGGGAAGGCGGCGGGGGTAACTCCAAAGTCAGTAGGAAAGACGTGAACACACGCAACTTGGGTGAAAACGGCGAGAAAGCGAGGGACGGGGAGGGCCACTGGCGGTTCAGCCAAGGCCTCAGCAAGGGGTGCAGGCCCACGGGCCTTCCCCGAGTGCCACAGCAGCAGCCAATGGCGACGACGGCTCAGCCGCCATCGTGCCGGGCACCCTCGGGCCTCGAACCCTTGCCTCTCTGGCACGCTCCCTCCTGCTCCTCACACACATACATCTCCGAAGTAGCCCGACCACCACTTCGGACAACAGGCGGGCTCGGTGAACGCGGCCGACGAGAACGAAGCTGACAGGAACGCGGCGCCTCCTGCTCAGGCCGGCCGGCTCAGCCCCGGGCCGGCTGTGGCCGGTTTGCGGCGCCTGCGCACACGCGCCCGCCGCGGCCTTCCCGAGGACACCGGCCTCGGCCGTCGGGGCAGCCGCGTCCACCCCGCGGGAGCCTCTCGCTCCTCAGCCTGGCCACCCCGTTCCCTCTCCCGTCGTCCTGCCCCGCTCCCCCGTTCCCTCTCCCGTCGTCCTGCCCCGCTCCCCCATTCCCTCTCCCGTCGTCCTGCCCCGCTCCCCCATTCCCTCTCTCCCGTCGTCCTGCCCCGCTCCCCCATTCCCTCTCCCGTCGTCCTGCCCCGCTCCCCCGTTCCCTCACCCCGCTCCCCCATTCCCTCTCCCGTCGTCGTGCCCCGCTCCCCCATTCCCTCTCCCGTCGTCGTCGTGCCCCGCTCCCCCGTTCCCTCACCCCGTCCCCCCCCGTTCCCTCTGCCGTCGTCCCTACCGGGTCTCCGCTCTCGGGTCACCGCCGAGCCCCCCGACACCGGGGGGAACCTCACGAGGCTCCAGGCTGTGGGACGCAGCGAGGCCGGCGGCAGCCGGGCCCTCACGCCCTCACGCCGGCCCCACGGGCGCTCGCCCCTATTACAGCCCGCGGCCTCCTTCCGGCCCCACACCCTCCGCCCAGCTGCGGAGGATTGATCGTTTGCACCTCCTAATTGCCACCAAATGATGATTCCAGGGACCAAACTCATAACCCATGGTGGGGCGGAATGGGCTTTAGGAGACAGTCACCATGCTCCACTGGATCCCTTTATGCCGCCCTTGTTTTTTCTCGTCGTTTCACATCACCGCTGCCGGTTCCACCGCAGGTGCCGGACATTGGCTTTAAGGCCCCACAGCTGTGGGCTGAGGCGCTGCCCACGCCCCACGCGGGCCCGAGGCCGGCCGTGCGCGTCTGCAGAGCCTCGTGGGGCCAGTTCGCCCCATCTGGAACTCGGGCACCTCCATAACGGGGGTGGGGTGTCCTCAGACAACGCTCTTCCAGCTCCCACCCCTCAATCAAGCGAGAGGCTCGGCAGCCAAGATCGCAATAGGAAGCCTCCATTTACTTTGGATTATATGTCATTATAAATGTTAACAAATAAGACTGAAAAAAGGACGCCTTCGGGGAGGTCGGACCAAAGTACAAAAGTTGTGTTGTGGGGCCGCGGCCTGTGCAGCCGGGCAGTCTGCGTCCATGCATGGGGTCACTCGCTGCGGGACGCGACGGGCAGGGCATGCAGCTCCCCGCTCCCGCCACTAGGGGTCAGGAGGCAACCGCTTCAGGGGCGGAAGACGGGCCGCGAGCGTGGGGGCGCAGCCCAGGGCTGGAGGTGGGGCGGGCCCCCTGACTACCCATACCTGACTTTGGGATTTCTTTTTTTTTTTTTTGTGCATCATTCTTCTCGACTTTGTGGGTCTGACAGGTCAGAAGTTAAGATACCAGCTTGATGTCCAAACAGGGAGGGTTGTTTGCAGACCTCTGCAGGGGGCCTCCCACTTCTCTGCCCATCCCACACTCACTGCACCTGCGTGCTGGCCAGAGTCCCGCCTTCCAGGCTGACCGTGTGCAGCTGGGACCATCTTCAGGACCAGCCTGCTGTGTGTAGACTGGAAGCGACTGCAGGCTCTGGATTGGGTGCCTGACCCCTCACCCCTTGGGCTCATACAAGCTTTCCCACTCCAGCTGTGCAGAGAAAGGATACTGTTGCTCCCTGGGCCACAAGTTCAAAGATAGCATAAGGGCAGGGTTCAAGGACAGACAAGGGGCTCCCAGGGTTATCCTAAGCAGCACAGGCACAGAACCCCAAATCTCATTACACACCAGATGGATGAGGACCTGGGGCTGAGCCCTGCGTCTCCCCTTCCCTACAGCCTCTCCCAGCCCTCTTTCTCTGCACTTGGGGATGACAAGCCCGCTCTGAAAAGGTCCCCTGGGAGAGAGCATGCTGACCCTCTAACCCACAGGGGATGGGCATCCCAGGCTCCAAGGGTCATGAGGGTGGCCGGGCTCCCCCTACAGAGCTGGTGGGGGCCAATGGCACTTGGTGGGATTTAAGCCATCACCCCTGCTGCGTGCAGTGATGTGGTTTGTGTGTCTGCAGCACAAGCTTGGTCCTCATGCTCTGGAGCCCCAGTGTGGGCAGCCAGTGGACCTCCCATGCGGGCCAGCACATGCCCTGGAGCTCCGGGCTCAGGCGTGGCCGCGGATGTTGGCCTCGGCAGATCACACTCTCTCTGGGCACCAAACAGCAGTGGGCTGAACACGAGGGTGTGGACTCGAAACCCCTTGGTTCTGCATCTGTTCTTCCATGTGGCTGAAGGCCCAGGGCTGCCAGGTTTGGGGTTTCCTGCCAAGGCCCGCCAGCCAAGGCTTCCTTCTCCAGTCCCACTGGCTTTGGGAGGGCCAGCATACCAGGGGCAACCAAGCCTCCGCCTGAAGCCAGTGGGAGTCTTGACTGAGCAGGCCAGGCAGCAGTGTGTCCTGAGCATCAGCCCCACGCCCCGGGCCCTCCATCCCAACACATGTGCCCCGGGGCGGATCCTGGGTGTGCACAGCTCCTTGCACCATCACCTCCCTCACTACCTGCAGGGTCCTTTCAGCACCGTTTCCCTAGCTGGCCTCCCTCCTTCGAAAAGCCTTCCTGCCTCTCTCTTTGGTTGTGTTCCGGCTCTGGCGGGTGGGTCAGGCTGCTCTGGACACTGCATGTCCGTTGTTGTGGTTTGCTCCTGGCTCCCTTGGCAATGGGAGCGCCCTGAGAGCGGGCCCCAGGTGGAACCAGCAGATGATGCTCTTGCCAGCTGGCCTGTGTTCACTGGATGGGCTGGCACCCCATGCCCAGGCTGCTGTCTGCTGGCCCAGCAATACCAGAGAGGAATATGTGTGTCCCAACCTCTCTGTGGCCATGCCTGGGACTCTTGGGACATTCTTGGCAGTCATGCTCACCTCCTCCAGGGCCTTCACTGGCCCTTGGGTGCTCCACACTCTGTGCTCTCAGCCTGGGCTTTCTCAAGGACCTCTATGTGTCCGGGAGTATGGAGGCTGAGGCCTTCTCCTGGCCTGCCTCTCTGCCCTCCCCAGCCCTGGGTCCTCCGAGCCGCTGTGTGTCTGGGCAGGTGTCCTGGACTCCCCCAGTGTGGGGGCTGCAGCCCTTGGTGGTGGCTGAGGAAGCCTCGGGCCTGGCAGGTGCAGGGCGGGGCGGTCAGTCGCTGAGCACGGCCCCCGGGAGCTGACTGGTGAGCGTGTGCCAGCGCTCGATGCGCTTGTCTTTGTTTTTTAGGCAGTCAAACCAGTGCTTCAGGCGCTCGCCCTTGGCGTTGATGCCCAGAACCACGCCACCTGCAGGAGGGGTGCAAGGGCTGTCAGTGGCCCAGGGAGGCTGGGCCCTGGTGGCAGTGGACCCCCACCCCCTGGATTCTGTGCTCTGAGTGTGGACAGAATTGGACCAGGGGCTAGGCCTTCCCTCTACCTGCACCAGGAAGGGCTGGGCACACCCCTGCATGCAGCAGTGACCCCCCAAACTCAGGCAATAGGGGCCCAGGAGCTGACCCATCCCAGCTGCTGCATACTGCCCCCTCCCCATCACCGTCAGGGCCTGTTACTTCATGGGCCCTCGTGTTGCCAGGGGCAAGTGGCTCATGATCCTGGCCCTCCCTGGTAGCCAAGAAGGTGAGTCTGTGGTGAGTGCAGGGCCTGTGCCTTTGGCTAAAGCCAGGCGAGGCCAGCAGCTGCCCTCTGTCCCCGCTGCGCCTCACCGATGAAGTCGTTGGACTTTCCAATGTCGTAGTCCCAGACGGTGACCTCCAGGGTCTTCTTGGCCAGGTCCCCGTGCTTGATCTCGTAACAGAACTCCTGCAGGCCAGAGCGAGGGTTAGGGGCTCAGCCTCCTAGGGGCTGTGGTGTGCGGAGGGCATGGGCGACAGGTGGCACCTCACCCGCACTGCTCAATTCTGCCCAGGGGTCTACCCTGTCTTCCTGCCTGCTCGTCTACTGCTCTCTCAAGCTTCTGGACTGCTCCCCTTCGCTTCTGGGAGCATCTCCCATCAGCCTCTGCTGGCCTGGCATGGTTGGGGTGGCTTGGGCCTTTCTAAGGCCCTCTGTTCCCAGCCACCCTTGCTCCAGAGAGATGGGGTGTCTAGGCTGAGGTGCTTTCCCGGGTGGGGTTGTCTACACACACCCCTCCCTCCTTCCCCACGGCCGTGAGTCCCTCCCGCACTGCCCTGTGGCATCAGGGCTGCCCCCCCTTACTCCCAGCCCTGTGCTGCTCTCACAGTGACCCTGGGGGACAGGGCATGGTTTTGTGGCACTCCACCCCTCGCACCTCGTTGAACTCAGGGTTCAGGGTCCTCTTCTTCACGGCTGTCTTGTGCTTGGATCTCTTGTCCACGTCCGGCTTCAGGTATCTGGAATCACAGGAAGACCAGGCAGAGGGCTGTGGGAAGCCCTGAGTGCAGACAGGGCAGTGGGACTGGGCTGAGCTGTCTGCCTCTGGGGAGCCCGTGGTGTCCCAGTACTGCATGGTGGGGGGCACAAGGGGCCAGCAGCAGCTTTACTCTGCTCCTGACGGGGCCCTAGACCACCCCACACTGACCGCTAGAAGCAGGGTTTCTCTTGTTTCTGGAAGCCTAAGTTTTGAAAAACTCACATTTCCACCCAAGTATTTTTAACAGAATTATACCCTGGCTCAAGCCTTTCAAACTTTTTTTTTTTAAGATTTATTTACTGAGCCCAGTGTGGTAGCATAGCAGCTAAAGTCCTCACTTTGTACGCACCAGGATCCTATCTGGGTGCTGGCTTTAATCCTGGCAGCCCTGCTTCCCATCCAGCTCCCTGCTTGTGGCCTGGGAAAGCAGTTGAGGACGGCCCAAAGCCTTGGGACCCTGCACCCGGGTGGGAGACCCGGAGGAAGTTCCTGGCTCCTAGCTTCAGTTTGGTGCAGCTCTGGCCATCGTGGCCATCTTGGGGAGTGAATCATTGGGCATAAAATTCTCCTCTTTGTATATCTAACTTTCCAATAAAAATAAAATAAATCTTTATAAAAAAAGATTTATTTACTTAAAAAACAGTTATAGAGAAAGGGAGGAAGAGGGGCCAGGGTTGAGCACGATGTCTTAATTGGCTAATCTGTCTACAAGTGCTGTCTTTCCATATGGATGCCGGTTCGTGCCCTGGCTATGCCACTTCTGGTCCTGCTCCCTGCCTGTGGCCTGGAAAGGCAGAGGAAAATGTACCAAAACCTTGGGACCCTTCCACCCACATGGGAGACCCAGAGAAGACTCCTGGCTCCTGGCTTCGGATTAGCTCAGCTCCGGCCACAATATCATTTGGAGAGTGAACCAGTGGATGGAAGATTCTCTGTAAATCTGTCTTTCCAATTAAAAGAAAAAAAAAAAGAGGAGAAACAGATTTTCTGTCCACCCCAGTGACTGATGCACAGCCACCCCAGCCTGAAGCCAGTCGCAAGTAGCTTTTTTTTTTTTATGGTTCCCAAGTTTTATCCAAGAACTCATACAAAATATTGCAGAGAAATGAGTTTAATCCTCCTCCTCCTCCTCTTCGTCCTGGTTGAACTGGAAGTATCGCAGCTCGTAGCTCTCCTTGGCGTTAGCAACGACACGCAGCCAATCATGTAGGTTATTCTTCTTCAAATATTTTTTGGTGAGATACTTCAAATACCTCTTGGAGAAAGGCACCTCGGAGGTCACGGTGATCTTGCTCTTGCTCCGCTCGAGGCCCACCACTCCGCCGCCGAGGTTCCCGGCCGTCCCGTTCACCTTGATTCTCTCCATGATGCACGGGCGCCATGGCGGCAGCGGAGGCAGAAAGGAGGCGGACGCAGCACGCAGACGCCAAGAGCACGCCCAAGCAGCTTCATCTGGTATCTTACAGGGGTTCAGGGGCTTAAGCACTGGGGCCACCTTCTGCTGTTTTCTCATAAGCAGGGAGCTAGACCAGAAGTAGAGCAGCCAGGGCTTGAACTAGAGCCCATTTTGGGATGTTACTAATGCAGGTAACAGCTTAACGTGCTATACCACAGCACCAGCCCTAAGTCTTTAAATTTTGTAACAGTTTTTTTTTTCTACTTATGTAAGAGGAGACACACACACACACACACACACACATACACACACACTCCCATTTGTTAGTGTACTCCTCAAACCAGGTCCAAACCAGCACCTCAGAATTTCTAGGTCCTGGCAGAGTGGTGAGCCCCTAAACATCACTGGCTGCCTCCCAGGGCCTGCATCAATAGGAAGCTGACTTGGGATCGGAGCCAGGACTGCAACCCAGACACGCAGGTGCCCCAAGCAGCCTCTCCGCTAGGAGCTGCAACACCTGCCCCTCTCCAAGCGTTTGTGAGCTGCCACTTGTTGAAACAGCAGGGGCACCTGACTACACCAGCACATGGCACCGTGGGCAGCGTGCTTGTTGGCTCAGCCTGGAGGAAGCTGCCTGTGTGAATTCACCCGGGCCTCCTGTGTCCCTGGTAACCACACAGCATGCTGTCATATGGATGTGCCACATCTTATTCACCTCTTCCTCTGCTGATGGCTGTTGGACTGTTTCCAGGTTGTCATGGTTACAGGCATCCCTGCCAAGAGGAGCCCTCCTCCTGTGCTGGGGTTCCATGGTGGTGCACACTGCAAGGACAGTCATACAGTGTGGGGCGCACACTCCCCGCACCTGACTGGACACGCACAGCCTCCCAGCTTCCCTTGAGCAGCCGCACGCAGCATGCTCTCTCACTCCAGTCTCAAGGCAGCGGGACACGTCATTTTGGTAATGTGTCACATGGAAACCCTGTAGTGCCAGCACCTCTCCTGGAGTCGGGTGTCAGACTGTTACAGCCAACAGCCTTCTTTTTGGAAAGGCAGAATCACGTGATGGAGAGAGGTTGAGACAGAGATCTTCCATCTGCTGGCTCACTCCTCTAGATGGCTGCCATGCCCAGGACTGGGCCAGGACAGAAGCCAGGAACTCCATCTGGGTCTCCCATGTGCGTGCAGGGGGCCAAGCGCTTGGGCCACCATCCTCTGCTGCTTTCTCAGGTGTAACAGCAGATTGGATTGGAAGCAGATTGGACTGGGAGCAGGGCCATGGGGACTCGAACTAGTACTCTGATACAGGGTACCAGCGTCACATGTGGAGGCCTAACCCCCCAGCCGTAAGGCCGGCCCCTGGAGCCGTGCTCCTGAGATGCGCTCCACAGGGTGTGAGCCTTTCACAGCATACAGGGCGGTGGCTTTCAGTTTGTCCCCAGAGCTGTGTGACGAGCCGCACAGGGACCCCCAGAAAGCACTCGTCATTCCCAGCAGAAACCTGGTCCCCCGAATGATGCTCGCTTCTTCCTCCCAAATGCCCCCGGCATTGGTTATCACTCATCTGCTTCCTGCTTCCCTGGATCCACCCCCACGAGCTGCAGCCCTGCACGGCTGCCCTCTCTCCCTTGGCATCAAGTCTCCAAGGTGCATCTGTGCCCGAGCGAGCAGGTGCTGGAGCTCCCTGCTGACAGACACGCACTATTGCAGGCCACATGAGCAGGCCATGTCGTGTTCACCCACTACCCAGTGGACAGGCCTTGGCTTTGCCGGACACAGGCTTGTCTCACTCTTGGGGGGCATCCCTGGGGTGTACAGTGGCTGGGTCAGATAGGAACTTGGCGTTGAGCCTTCCCAGGGACTGCCAGTGATTTCTGGCACAAATTTTTGACAAACGACAGAAGTTTAACGGTGGCCATGGCAACAGTGCCCAAGTGATGCTCCCTGTGGTAGACGGCACCTTGGCAGTGTCCCCTCTGGCATGGCCCACTCCTGTCTTGGTGTCCTAACTCCTCTGTTCCCCCACCCTCTTTTTCCTTTACCTCCCTTCTGTTGAGCCAAATCCTGCCCTCTCCGCCTCCCCCTCCGCCAAGTGTGACCCTTTAAGACCCATGTCACCCTCTCAATGGCCACCAATTGCTCCCTCTCAGCCTGGCCAGGCGCCCAGCCCCTCCTCCTGCTTGGTGTCACTTTCATGGGTGGGAGGTCCACTCATGGGCAACAGACAGGGTTCCCTTGCTAGACCTCTGAGATATCCTGGCACAGTCTCCCACCCTCTTCCAGCTGCCCTGGCCCTCCAAGGTACTGAGGTTGTGACATGGCCTGGATGCACCATCAGGAAATAAATACTTTCTATCTGCATGAACTTACAGAGGCACTGAGCTACTTACTGCAAGCCTTAGTTTTCCCATCTGTGAAATGGGCTGGCCACCTTCAAGCCCAGCAGTTGTCAAAACAGCATGTAAGAGAAGATGCCCCTATGGATGCAGTGCCCACCGCCCGCCAGGCACTTCCCCAGGGCCCGCCACACCAGATCCCGAATCTGGCCTCCCTGGAACTGAGGAGGGCGGTCACTCACTCACATTTTCACGTAGGGGTCTGAGTAGCCGTTGGCGTCCATGGCGGCCAGGTGTGCGCAGCGCACGATGCCCACGAGCAAGCCCTGCTTCTGTGAGCTGTACTTGAGGGAGATGAGGATGCGGCCCCGCTCCTCCAGGGACTTGTCCTCCGTCTTGTCCACCTGTCGGGCAGGGCAGTCGCTCAGCTGTCCTTGCCTGCTCCTACACCCTCCCATACTGGATGGCCTCCCTGTCCCTGAGCCTGGCTGTCACCTTCATGCTCACCCTGACCCTGACCCTTGCTGTCCCTGGACCTCCACAGCTGGTCCAACATGGCCGGATGCACGGACTTGAGCCGAGAGTGGACTCTACCGCCGGGAATGCCCGGGAGCGCTGTGCGAGGCTCTGGAGGCACAGGGGAGAAGACTCTCCTGCCGCAGCCTCTGCACGACTTGGGCCACTGGCCTGTGGCTGCCAAGGGTCGGCAGGGCAGCCAGGCCCTCCACAGTCCTGCTGCTCCAGGGCCACGGCTTCCCCTCATCTGTCCTGCCCCTCCGGAAAGCCACACCTGCTCACCCTCCTGTGCTCTTTGCGCTGTCAGCTGCAGCAGTCCTCGCCCCTCCCCGCCTTCTTCTTGTCGCAGACCGCTGCGGGGACCACCTGCTTCCCCTAGACAAATCATGAAGCTATCAAAGGGGCCACAGGGAACTCCCTTTAGTGCCAGGCACAGGGAGCTGTGGGGAAAGGGGAACAGCAGGGGACCACATGCGACAAGAACCTAGCTCTGTATCCTCCAGGGTGGACAGGAATGGAGCCGGATGGTCATCTCTGGGTTCAGTCTCATGCCAGGCACTCCAGCCTGCCACACCGTGGCCCCAGGTCCTGGTGCTTCCTGGCCAGCTCAGGGCCAGGCTGGGCCTCTTGGAGAGAAGCCAGAGCCTCCCTACCCCCCACCCTGTCCCACATCTTGGCAGCTGCCCCGTGCCTCCAGGTGGGCCTCCCCACTCCGCAGGCCACCACGGATAATGCCCTTCTGAGCATCCCCTTACCCAATTCCTTCCCAGCTATGGCATCCCAGCGGTCTGCTCCTCTACCCCTGCCCTGCCCTGCCCTGCTCAGGCACACATGCTATAGCCTTGCTGACCCTGTGGCCTCACCCTGTGGCAGAAGGAAGAGACACCTAGCAGGGAGGATGTGACACAACCCTGGGGCACCATGCCCACAGCAAACGATGTCACGGCATCTAGTACCCACCCTGAGCTCAGAGGTGGTGGCAGCACGATCCTCACCATGGTGCCTGGGCAGCAAGGGCAGCGGGTGAAGCTGTGTGTGTGTATGTGTGTGGACCTCTACGATGAGCCTGGGGTCAATGTGTATGAAGTGCCCACACTGAACAGCATTAATAGGGCACTTGGAAAAGTTCATGCAAGTTTGGGTTTAAATTTGTGGTAAGCCTTTCTCACACTACACATTGGCTACGAATATTGTGAAGACCCCTCCTACAGGAGAAGGGGTATTCCCTGCAGGCTTTTCAGGGGCTGAATAGGGTACTCTGGGTCATTTCGTCTGTCCACCATCCTGTGTGTCCTCAGAGCCACAGGCGCACACACGCGTGGCTGCTGGTTGACACCAGCAAAGCTCAGAACAGCTCCAGGAGGAGCCCGCGCGGCCTCTCGTAGGTGGCGCACATCACTCAGGAAGACCGGTTTGCCTGTGGCTCATGACTAATATTAACACACAAAAGGTCATGCCCATCACCCGTGTCTGAGTGGGAGAGCTGTGACAAGGGAACAAAGGTTGATTAAGCTATGCCAAAAGACAGGGCCAGATGCTGCAGGTGGCTCGGCCTCAGGTCCCTCCTGCCCCCCCACTGGTGCTGGCCACACCCGCCATGGTGGCCTCCTCCTCACTCAGGCCCCCAGAATGGAGCAGGGGGGGATGCATGCTGCTGCCCGCATCCTGAACACTGGGCACTACTGGCTCACTTCTCCGGAAACAGGGGTAACAAGGCATGGAGACGGGGCGTGGGAGAGCGGCCAGGACAATCAGAGCAGGATCTGCGAGGGCTCAGCTGCTGGGGCCGACCGGGGAGCCATGCATGCTGATCCTATGTTCCAGCAGGAGAGTGTCTGGGACAGGACTACCCTGTCCCCCCGGGTGTGTCACGGGCCCCAGCATGCCTTGCACATTCCCAATGTGTGTCTGCTTCTGGCCCGGCTGCCCCAGTCCATGACTACCTGGGCCTTCCAGAGCCCCGGCCTCAAGCCTCGGTACCTGCTTCCCTTCTGGGTGCAGCTCCTCCCTTCCCTCCCAGTCATCACCTATTTTGGGCGCCTCCTGGGATGCGTCCTTGTGGTCACCCAGGGCCCTCCCCCCTGTCCCCACACCTCTGTGAGCTCAGATTCCCCAAGTTGTCCCTGCTCCGCTTGGTCCCGCCTGTCTCTCCCGCACCTGCAGCCTGCCGGATGCGCGGCAGGTGCTCCCTGGGCGGTGCCCGCTCACCGGCAGCTGCTTCTCCAGGCAGATGCTGAACGTCCTGGTGTGGTTGGGCTTCAGCTTCTTCAAGGGCACCCGTGTCTCTCCGATGAACTCATTGTGGCGGAATTTGTCCTCGTCACACACAGAGATCCTGAGGTGGGGGAGGCACGGGGCATGGCTAGCGCCTCGGACACACTGGGTACCCCCAGTGGGCTTCCCGAGTCGGCAGGGATGAGTGAGGAACAGATGGCCGGGGCCTCACCCACCGCAGGGTCTTGCGGACCATGTCCTCGTCCGTGATCCCGTAGTAGGTGAGGGTCTCGTTCCACATGGGGTTCAGTGTGTTACGCAGGGTTTTTGTTCTCAGCTTATTGGCCTGCAGACAGCAAGAGGGGTCTTGATGGGGTGAGGGCAGGAAGTCGTCCCCCCAGGACAGTCATGTCCAGTATCTGGAGCTGAGTGGAGACCACTGCTCGGCCGACTATCATCTGGAGCAGTCATCCCAGGTGCCCCAGGTGCCCAGTGTAACCCCAAGATCCTCAGGTACAGAAGAGGGCAAGTGAGAGGGAGGTCTGGCTGAAGGGGGTCCCAGAGAGGCCACAGGGCTGGTTTTGGGCATGCAGGGAGGGGGTGTGAACCCAGGTATGTTCCTGTCACGAGCAGTGAACCACACCAAACAGTAAGAGGTACACCAAGAAGACAGATCAAGGCCTGATTTTCTACATTAAGGGTCCCCTTGGGGCTGTGGTATAAGGGCAGACTTTTTTCTCCCTCTGCAGAGGCACCTGCTGAGCTAGTACTATAAGCACTGCCTGCTCTGCCTGCTAGGTCAGGCACATGGAACAGGAGCTGTGGGCACCTGCACTGGGCACACTGCACTACGCAGTCAGAGAGGCCCACAGCTCACTGAAGGCGCCAACGAGTCCTGCAGTAGAGGGATCTGTTGAACCAGGTGTTCCCAGATCCCTTTATGTACATACAATATTAACCTCCAGCTGGGCGTGTCTCTTATAAAACACTGTTCCCAGGGCCCCTCATCCCAGCAGACAGGTGACGCTGACTCACAGGGCCCTGGGAGGCTGGTGGGGTGTGACACGTGCAGGTACCGTGTGCAGCTGGTCACCCATCAGCTTGCTTGGGCCTAGCTGGGGAATAGGAGCCCCAGGCCGTGCAGGGTGGGCAGAGCTGATCAGTTGCTTCTCCAGGTATTACTCCCTCACCTTACTGGCTCCTGGCAGCAGGTGCAGCTTGACGTAGGGGTCCGCCAGCCCATTGTGGTCCATTGGTTTCAGGCCCTGGGCAGAAGACAGCAGAGCGTGTGAGCTGGGGGGTTGGGAGTACAGGGCAACCAGGGCCTCCAGGTGGCCAGGGCCAGCTGAGGGCCTCCTGGCTGGATCCATGCATGGGCCTCTTTCCAGAAGCCTCTGGGCCACATCCTTGGGTAGAGGAGGAGCAGGGGGCTGGTACAGTCCCCTCTTGCCCTCAGATGGATGGGCCAAGGTCTCAGGGAAATCATAGGCCTGTTTGGGGTAATCCTCTTAGCCCCCTAGAGGTCCTGCGCTGCCCTGCTTTGGGCAGGTGCTCTGCCAGACTCCGCCAACATCCCAAACACAGTCTCCAGCCCCTGGGAGCTTCCCCTCGGGCCCCAGGAAAGCCGCCAGGCTTCCAGTCCAGGGCCGGCGGCTATGGAGGCTCCGTCCACCAGATGGCGGCCGCACCCGTTCTCCGTCCAGCTCGGCGTGCAGCCGGGAGCCCGCGGCTCACACACTGCCTCCTTCCTCACCCTGAGGCCGGCCCTATTTCCATTCTGGGATGGCACTGCCAGGGTTTTCTACCCGGAGGCGTGGAGGAGAGGGCGCGGCTGCTGCCATAGGGCCCCTGCCAAGGTTCTGCCCCTGCTGGGGTCACCTCGCTCCCTGGTGGGCTGGGAGGTCTAGGGGAAGGCTCAGGCTTGCCCCCTGCTCAGCCCTGGGCTGTGGGTACTTCCCAGCTGAGCTGGTGGAGGCCTGAGCCTCAGGTTCCTCACCTGGAAAAGAGGCCCACAGTCATACTGTCCTGGGGCCGGCATGAAGGGAAGAGTGGTGCAGCAGTGGGGCTGGCAGGGCAGGAGTTTGCTGCCCCCCTCCCAGTCCAGTCACTATGCTGCCACTGGCACTACCCTGGGCTGGCAACGTAGAGTTGTCCATAGGGCACAGCTGGCGGTGTATCTTTACTCCACAAACCACAGCCAGAGTCCCCCGGGCCTGTGGATCCTGTTTGGGTTTTCCTGGTTCTTCTGGACTCTGTGTGGCTGTGATTAACCCTATTATACACAGAGCAAACTCCGGGGTGGCCAGCCTCCCTCAAGACACTCCTGCTGCGGCTCCCATCTCAGAGGCCCAGCCCTTCCCATGCCTGTGCAGAGCTAAGAGTGTCACAGAGAAGGTCCTGGAAGGTGCAGGCGCCACTGTGGGTCTGGGCCCCTCATCCTCCATCCATTATCGGACATAAGCTAATGTGTGTACCCTTGGGGATGCTAGATTGGGATGCCCACATGGCCGCATGCATCCACACACGTTCACACACACACACACAGTGGAGCTGGGGAGGGAAGGCAGCCACACACATTGTGTATGTGTGTGTGGGGTGTCCTGGGGTCCGCTATGGAGGGGGCTGGAGGGGCCTGAGAGCCTGGACAATGTCTACAAAGCAGGGAGATGCCAGAGAGGGGGATCCGCCCTGTCGGGGCCCTCAGAGGAGAAGGAAGGGGGAACACAGCAGGTGCACGGCTGCAGGCCTCAGATGGGTGGTATCCAGGGCTGCAGGGCTGTGGTGGCCTGCGCTGGGCAGAGGCAGTGCGGGGTATGGGGGAGGGGCAGTGCCAGGCAATCTGTCCCCTAGGGAGTGCAGGCAGCTCAGGGTAGGGCCTCAGCTGGCAGTGGGGGAGGATGGGGCAGGGGTAGGCATGGTCGGGAGGGCTGGGGTGGGCTGGTGCAGGTTGGGGCCAAGCAACTCTGCTGGGCTGCCTGGCCCGTCTATGGCCCTGCCGAGGGCTCTCCTAGGCCTCGCAGGCCCTTACCTTGCGAGAGAACATCAACTTGGGCACCTTCCTCCCAGAGGGAGCCATGTGGGTGTGTGGGGTGGGGGGAATGAAGCAAACAGCACCAGTGAGAACAGAGCTAGTTGGGGGGTGGGCTGGGAGGCGGTCCACAGCCACGCCAGAGAGCCAGGCTCCGAGCATGAATGGAGTCAGGCCTCCTGTGGCCCCTGTGCGCAGGGCAAGAGCTCAGAGCCACCCATCTGAGTCCCCTGGCACCCTCCCCACCCTTGCCCTGTCCCTCTTGGGACAGCTCCTCCCCACCCACAAGGTCCTCCTCCTCCTCCAATACCTGCCTGGACAGGGTGAGGGCAGCACTGCACAGCCCCACCATACAGGGCAGGGCTGGGTCCGACCCCCATGAGATGGGGCTAGGGCAGAGGGCAGTGCTGGGTCCAACTCCCACACAGGGCGGGGCCTACCTTGGCCTTGCTGATGGTGCAGTGGAGGGCATTGCTCTCGGGGTCGTAGAGCAGGCTGAAGTCCAGGGTGCCCAGGGCAGCTGCCAACAAAGGAGGGCCTGGGTCACACCGAGGTCTGGCCTGCCGTGCCAGCCCCCGCGTGGCCACAGGGACCTTGTGCCATCAGCAGTCATCCGCAGGGGGTTTCAGCAGGTGGAAAGGCAAGGCCGGCGTTCCTCTCTCCTGCTCCCAGGGCTGAGCTCAGGGCCTCCTGCACGAGCAGAGCGCTCATCCCAGTGTCAGCTCTGGACGAAGCCACTGAAGCACAGCTGCTGTAAAGCAGCACCGGATGCCACACAGCTGCTGGTTCAAGTCTTGGCCACTCTACTTCTGATGGAGCTTCGCTAATGCACCCAGGAAAGCAGCAGCCCTCGTGGGAGGACGCTCCTGGTCCCTGGCTTCAGCCTGGCCCAGCCCTCGTCTTGAGGTTCTTTGGAGAGTGTAATCAGTACACAGGTCTCTCTCCATGCCTTTCAAAATAAATAGTATTATAAATAAAAATTACTCCCAAAGAATTTCTTTATCAAGATGAAGCACAGAGATGTCACAGCTTGCTGGCACACTTCCAGTTTGCTGAAGCCAGAGGCACATTTTGACATCCCTGACAATACAGCATTAGTTAGTTTGTTTGTTTTTAATATTTATTTTATTTGAAAGGCAAAGAGACAGAGAGAGTTCTTTCATTCGCTGGTTCTCTCTCTAAATGGCTGCAATAGCTGGGGCTGGGCCAGGCTGGAGCCAGGAACCTAGAATTTCATCCAGGTCTCCCATGTGGGCACAGGGTCCAAAGGCTTTGGACCATTTTCCTCTGCCTTCCCTGGTAATAATCAGAGAGCTGGATCAGAAGTGGAGCAACCAGAACTTGAAATGGTACCCCTTTGGGCTGGTGGATTCAAAGATGGAGGCTTAACCCACTGTGCCACAACACCGGCCCCATGAGCACAGCTCTAATCTACATAAACATGTGTACAGAATCCTCAAATTTTACAAAAGAAAATGGTTCAAGTCTACACAGGTGCATAATGTTGTGTCTTGCAGGTAATAGGCAAAGATGTAAAGGTGAACCACCTGTTTTTTTTTTTTTCCCTTTGTCACCAGGAAGGAAAGCATGCCAGTCTCCATGACAACCGCCACCATCTGAGCACCTACTGTTTGCCAGCCCCACCCAGCCTCCCAGTCCCATCCACCCCGGGGAAGTGATGGCTTTTGCCTCACCTTGCAGGAGGAGCTGAGGCTCAGGGAAGTGGGGCGTTGGGTCACCCCCAGTCTCTGTGAGCAGGTACCTGACTCACTCCCAGCCCCTAAGCTCTGGGCCCCAGCCTTGGATCTCCATTAGCTGGGTGGGGCTCATAAGGCTCTGATGGCAGACAGGGCCAGGTCTGGGAGGGCTACAGGCCCTGGCCGTCCCTCCTCCACATGCAGGCTCTCAGGGCTGGCCTGTGGCTCAACCCTCGGGCTGCAAGGGGCCAGTGGAGGGCGCAGCTGTGGCCTTCCACACCCAGCACCAGGCCAGGGCAGCCACTGGACAGCAAGGGGTGCATCCCCAGCCATCCCCCAAGGCCTGGTGCTATTCCAGGCACGGGGCTGGTGACCTGATGTCACCTGCATCCATTCCTTAGACTCCCAGGATGGGGACATGAATGGGGCAGGGTTCCTGTCCCCATGGCCAGCACTGCTTACTGGAGAGAACAGATGAAAGGTGTTTGTCATGGCAGAGTCTGCTGGGCCAGGAACGATGGGGCCTTGTAGACGCCCGGCCTCTACAAGGATGGCCGACATCAAGGAAGGCTTCCTGGGGGCGGGGGAGCCGATACCTCCCCTGACCCATCATGGACAAGTTAGAGCTAGCCAGTGGCATCAGGAGGGAATGGGAAGGGCCTTGTGGTTTGCTTTGCCCTTGCAAAGGCAGAGCTGAGGAGGTGGGCCCAAGACCTCATGGCCTGGGGGGCTCTAAGGATCCTCTTTCTGGCCCTTCACAGCAAGACAGTGCCTATCTCGGGCCAGTTCCATGAGTCTGCAGGCCCCTGGGTGACCAGCTGCCCTTCATTCTGGGGCAAGGATGGGTGGAGTGTTTGTCTTGCTCCCAGCAACCCTGCCGGTGTGGGGCCAGGCACGCGGTTCATGGCCTGCCTCTGCCTACAGCACTGGCTAGACTCTGGCTCGCCGTGTGACTGGAGCATCCATGCCTCTCTGTGCCCTGTTCCCTTTTCTGCAAAGTCCCTGCTCATAGCGCTGTGCCCCAATGATGCCCAGTGCCCGGAAGCCCAGGGGAGGTAATTATAGCAAGCGTAGACCCACTTAGGCGACTTTCCTAGAGAACTGGCCTGGCCCCTCTGGGACGCGTTCTGAAACAGAGCCGCCCCATCGGGATTGCTGCGGAGCGGGACGCACTGGCATTGCCTGATTCTGCTGTGTGTCCCGACCACAGCCTGGACGCGCAGAGGGCTGGGAGGGGACCCCACCCTACCCTGGGTGGTGGTAGTGTGGAGGGGTAGGGAGCCTGTTTTTGAGGTCTTCTTCACTTTTCTGTCCCCTCCTTTGTCGTCAGCCTGAAACTCCTACACAAGTATTTGTCTCTGGTCTTCCCTCTGGGAAACCAGGGGAGAATACTTGTTAAGACTTGTGGCCGCGAGCCAGCGTGGGAAGCAGCTGCCTGTGACACCGGATCCCACGCCGGAGTACATGAATTTCAAGTCCTGTCTGCTCTGCTCCGATTCAGCTCCTCACGCATCTGGGAAGGCTGGAGGTGCTGGACCCTTGTCACCCATGTGGGACACCTGGATGGACTTCTAGGCTCCTGGCTTCAACCTGGCCCAGCCCTGGTGGTTGTAGCCATTTATGGTGGGGCGGGTGAAGGTAGATGGAAGAGCTCTCTCTTTCTCTGTCACTTTGTCTTTCAAATAAATCTTAAGAATAAAAAGAGCTGAGCCTGATGTGGTAGCCTAGTGACTAACTCTTCACCTTGCATATACCAGTTCTAATCCCGGCTGCTCCACTTCCCATCCAGCTCCCTGCTTGTGGTCGGGAAAGCAGTTGAGGACGGCCCAAAGCCTTGGGACCCTGCACCTGTGTGGGAGACCGGGAAGAGGCTCCTGGCTCCGGATTGGCTTAGCTCCAGCCATTGCGGCCACTTGGGGAGTAAACCAGTGACAGAAGATTTTTTTGCATCTCCTTCTCTCTATAAATCTGACTTTCCAATAAAAAAAATCTTTAAAAAAATAAAAAGAGCTGTGTCCAAACAGAGTCTACAGGGGGCTAGCACAGGGATCCACCCACAGTACCTCAGAGGGCATGGGTTCAAGGCCCGGCTCTGCTCCCACCCACCCAGGAGGCAGCAGGGGATGGCTCCAGTACTTGAGCCCCTGCCACACCACAGGAGAAAGAGACCTACATGGAGTTTCAGGGCATTTGACGATGGAGCAGTCAAATACATTAAATGAATCAAAGTGTTAAAAGAAAGAATTGGGGCCAGCACTGCGGCAGCATGCTCCCATGTGGACTCCTCAGCCACACCCCTTCCACGGGTTTGGATCGCGTCTCACCAGAGTGGGACTTGGACATCTGTGATTTTTTCCAGGTTCGCTGTCCCAGAGAGTTTAAGCTGGTGAGACACAGGGGATCTGGGCTCCCAGGGAACTCCCTGCAGGTAGGCCTGGATGCCACTCAGTGGAAGCCACTCCTACCAGCCACTCCCTCCGGACAGGGGGCCCAAGCCCAGCTAGCCCGAGAGCTACACTGAAGGCCTCTAAATTTCCCAGAAAGTTCCAAATGGTTAAATAATGGTTAAGACTTAGCCTGTCCCACGGGGGACCCAGGTCAAGTTCCAGGTGTTCCACTTCTGATCCAGCTCTGATGTACCTAGGAAGGCAGGGTAAGCTGGCCTGGGCACTTGGGCCCCTCCCTGTCACCCATGTGGCAGACTCAGATGGAGTTCCAGACCCCTGGCCTTGTATAAGACCAGTCCTAGTAATGGCAACCACCTGGGGGTGAACTAGGGAATGGGAGATCTGTTTTTGTCCTTTTCTCTCTGTAACTCTGCCTTTCTTTCTTCCTATCTTTCTTTCTTTTAAAGATTTATTTATCTTATTTGAAAGGCAGATGTACAGAGAGGAAGATCTTCCATCCGATGATTCACTCCCCGGTGGTATGCCGATCTGAAGCCAGGAGCCAGGAACTTCTTTCTGGGTCTCCCACATGGGTGCAGGGTCCCAAGGCTTTGGGCCGTCCTCAACTGCTTTCCCAGGCCACAAGCAGGGAGCTGGATGGGAAGTGGAGCTGCTGGGATTAGAACCGGCACCCATATGGGATCCTGGAGCATTCAAGGCGAGGACCTTAACCATTACGCTATTCACTAGGCCCAACTCTGGCTTTCAACTAAATACATTTTAAATGATAATAATAAGGAAAGACTGGTGAGGAGAGAGAGCAGGGAGACTGCAGGGGTGGGACGGGTGTGGCTGTGAATGTGCCCCGCACCACACCTGTGCTATGGTGGGGCCGGACGGTTGCCTGGCTGCTCCATCCATCCTGTGGGAAGCACACACCTGTGGAGGAGTGTTGTGGGCAGGCGCTGACGGGCCTTGGGGAGGCGGCAGCCCAGGCAGGGCCCTGCAGAACTCTCCAGTGCTGGTTCAGAGCTCAGCATCTCCTGCCGTGGGGCTTTCTCTAGGGCTGACGCCCCAGCAGGGCTGATGGACACTGACAGCTGGGCTCGACCTCGCCCTGCACACGCACACCACTGGGCACAGGAAATCTCTCCCAGCAAAAAAAAACAAACAAAAAGATATCCTCAAAAAAAAAAAAAAAAAAAGAGTCCATTTGTTTAAGAGAGAGAAGAGGGGAGGAAGAAGAGAGAAATATTCTTCCATCTGCTGGTTCATTTTCCAAACACCCACGACAGCCAGCCAGAGCGGGCCAGGCTGAAGCCAGGAGCCCACAGCTCTGTGGGGTGTCCCGTGTGGGCGGAGCTGTCTCCTGCTGCCTTCCTGGCTGAATGAGCAGCGGTTGGACTGCAGACGGAGGTGCCAGGAGAACTTGATCCAGCACTGTCCTATGGGATGCGAGTGGCCTGACCTGCAGTGCTGTAACACCAACCTCCAGCTGGATTCTTAAGCACTATCTGCCCCTTAAAAACAAATTCAACCAACAACCAAGCAAACACCTGTGGTGAGAACCCAGAAAATGACGAAGCCTGAGTCAAAAATGCTGGGGAAACTGAGGAACCAAGCCAGGCAGGGATGGCGCGGAGGGGCGGGAGGGGAGTTCAGGGCAGCCTTGCTGCAGAGCAGGGAGAGCTCTGGTCCCACGGCCACAGTCATGACATCACTGTTCTCTTCCTCAACTTCAGCCCCGTGGCTCTGAGGCAGCTGGTCCCTCCCCCGTGCTGTGTCTCCCACACTTCAGGATGGGGTACACAGTGCCAGGAGCACTTCACTGTCCTCCCTGGCTGCCATGCAGCTTCCCTCCCACCACACTCAGGCACTCACTAAGCCAGCACCATGCATCAAGACACTATGGCAGCTCTGGGCCAAAGAGGTTCTGGGCTCCCAGCAAGGGGTCCTCGGCTGGCTCCCCGCTGAGGAGCGCCTTGGCAGCACACCCAGTGTTCCTGGCTTTGTCCTTGCTCCAGACCTCTAGGGTGAAACTGCAGGCTCTGGATTAAGCACAGGTCTCAGGAGAACTTCTGGAAGTGGTTTCCCGAACCTGAAATGGTGAACTAGGGCAAGAAACAGGTCCTTATCAAACCAAAGACTTGCTTGTGAGCTGTGATGCCTGGAGCCACCACAGACACCTTGGACCAGAAGGATTCGGCTTGGTACACGGAGACAGCATGACTTGGTTTGCCCCTGGATATTCCACACACGAACAGGAGCAGGGAACCCACTGCGATGTTCAGCCCAAGAGAAAAGGAGAGTGGCCATGTGGGCAGGCAGGAGCGTTACCCAGGACGACACCCGGGAACCACTGCACTGCCACTTGCACTGGATTCCTACTACTCGCCACCCAAAGCCTCCGAGTCACTGCACCATCCAAAACTGGAGCTTTCTGTGCAGGTGGCCCTGGAGGGGTTGCTGCTGATGGTGGTGTGTCTCCAGCGACTGGGGCCCTGTGCCCCTGTGGCAAAGAAGAAAGGAGGTGTGGACACCCAGGTTCACTTGCTTGTGCCCGTCCCTGCCCCTCCAGGTGCCTGGCTGGAAACAAGGGCGCCCCGGGCCCCGCTCCAGCCTTGAAGTGACTTAATAAAGATGGGCTTCAGAGGGGAAATGGAAAGGTGGAGTAAAATAAACAGCACTTATCTCCCAGCCTGGGACAACACAGCAACCGCCCTAATTTCTTTTTGTTAGAACAGAGATAATCCAATAATTAGGGCAGCAAATAGCATAACCCTGGCTAAAGCCATAATGAACCATCTGGCTTGAATCATTTAGGCTTATTCCAGGGATCTGGCTGTCAGAGCACAGAGCAGTGACTGGCTGCTGGGGTACAGGGTGGAGGGCAGACCTGCCCCCCCAACCTGTTCCTGGACCCCTCTGACAGCAGACACTGAAGGGCCCCAAGTGTAGGGGTGCTGCCTTTGCAGGGCTGTGGCAGGGGCGGTGGGGAGGGGGAAGAAGGGTTCCATACTGGTCTTGGCTCAGCCAGTCTCCTGGCTAGCTCTTCTCCAAGTGTGCCCTGCTGATGTTGACCTGGGTGTGGCCAGCACATAGTGCAAGCTCACTAAGTCACGTCCAGCAGGTGCTGTTGACTCCATGAGAGTCAACCCCCTGCCAGCAGACGTGTGTCCTATGTCCTGATGCCTAACCCTGGCTCCTCTGCCCCACTACCCAGAGATCAGACCTAGCCAACTGGTGGGAGGCGGGGTGGCCAGCCCAGGCGTGCTGGCCTTCTGGCCATGTCACACAGAGGATCCTCTGCAGCACCAGCAGGGTGGGCTGGAGCTGGGGCAAGCCCTGCCCCACCTACTCACACCCTGGGTTAGCAACAGATGCTGCCACTGGGAACAACCACCCAGCTAGCTTCTATCGGGGCAGTCTGGGCCTCAGGGCAGTCCAAAACAGCCTCGGGTCCCACAGGCCAGCGAGAGAGGGTGAGCTGGGCGCTGGGGTGGGGGAAGATTCAGGACCCTGAGCTCCCTGCAGTAAAATCTCCACACCCATTTTCCCCAGCTGGTGGCGAAGTGGGGAAAGAGGAATACCCCTGACCCCGGGTCCCCATGCGCAGGACCCAGGGCTGAGCCTAGAGCCCCTCGTCAGCGCCCTGCCAGCACTCCCCGCACCCAAAGACTCTGCTCAGACCGCGACCCCCGCCCGCTTCGGTTTTGCCCGCCAGCCCCGGGTCGGGTTGAACCGGGCCTTGACCCCTTGGCCACAGGCGCTTGCCTGTTCTCTATGGCTCAATGCCCGTAGGAGGGGGTGCGGGCCGGGCCCCTTCCTGTCCAGGGGCCGCGGGCGTAACAGGTGGGGCGAAGGTCGCCGGGCCGCCGAGCGCTGCGGCGGGGTCCACGCAGCGAGAGGAAGGATGGCCAAGGTTTCTCCGAAGGACAACCGGCCCCGCGGTCTTCCCGGTCCTCGGCTGCCGCGCCAGTCAAGCCGCCGCTCGCCGCGGGCTGCTGGGCCCACCCAGGAGGCCCGGTCCCCGTGCAGCCGGGGCCTGTCCGGAGCGGCTCGCGCGCAGGGAGCTACCGTGCGGCCGGCAGCAACTGGTGTCTCCCCGGGGCGCCGCTCCGCCCTTCCCAGGAACAAAAGCCGCCGCCCGCGCCGGAGCTCCGGGCAGGCAGACCAAGAGGGGGGCGCGGCGCGGGCTCAGGGGAGTCCGGCCCCGAGATGGGACGCCTTCCTCCTGGGGCGCGCTCAAACTTCCCACCTCTCCGACCCGGGTCAGCAGGTGTCGGGCAGGGCGCGCTGCGCGCTCCGAGCGGGCGCGGGAGCCGCGGGCGGCGCGCGGGAGAACGAGGGCGTTGCGCCGGGGGTCCCGGGGGAACCCGGGAGGCCGCGGCGCTCGCCCTGAGCGGGGAGGGGGCCGTCAGCGACGGAGACTTGGAAACTTACTGCAGTCGTCCGACTCGTAGCCGTCGGCGTCCGGCTCGTCCTCGGGCGGCTTGGCGGGCGGCCGCGCCGGGCTGGGGCCGGGGCTGGGGCCCGGGCTGGCGCCGTAGGCTCCGAAGAGCTGGTCTACGTCCTCCTCGTCGTCGCGGCCGCCGTCGGAGGGGCTGCGGCGGCCCGCGCTGGCCGCGGCCGGGCGCGCGGGGGCGTCCGGGGTTGCCTCGGCGCGCAGTGCGGTGTCCGGGGGCAGCCCCCGCGGGAAGCGGGGGAAGTAGTCGGAGATCTGCTTGATGGGCCGGATGGGGCCGGGGCACACGTCGATGGCCATATGCTCCTGGATGCTGATGGTCGCCTTCTCCCCGCGCCGCCGGAGGGTCATGCAGGCAGCCCTGCCCCGCCCGGGCGCGGCCCGGCCCGGCGCGACCCCGGCCCGCGGGCGGCTCAGCAGGCCCGGCGGGGGCGCGGCTGGGGGCTGCGGGCACGGCCGGCGGCGCCCCCGGACGGCCCTGACGCGGCTCCTGCCGGCTCGGCGGTGGCCGGCGAGAGTGAGAGTGCAGGGGCCGGCAGGCAGGGGGCGGGCCCAGCCCGCGTCACCCGGTAGCAACCAAGCAGGGTGAGTGCGCGGGCTGCGCGGGAGGCGCGGAGCGGAGCGAGCCAGGCGGCGCCACCCGCTCCCGCACTCGCGCTCACACCGGCGCGCACGCCGGCCCGGGACCCTGCGCGCGCACAGGGCGGGCGGCAGGCCAGGGTCCTCGTGCCTCTGGCTCTCCGTGGCTGTCTGCATCAGCGGGCAGCAGGGCAAGCAGGGTCCCTGGGCCACGTAGTTCCGCGTTCCTGCGCGGGCCAGCACACACTGCCACTCTCAGGACACACGCAGGTGTGCAGGGAGCCGCGAGCACGCACACGCGTGTGCGGAGCGTTCGATGGCAATTCCGCACACATCTGCAGCACACACGCACACACAGAACTGCACACGCCAGAGATGGTGCAGGATTCTGCGGCACAGAAACCTCCCTCTCCCCAGTCACCTGCCCCCCTTCACTAAGGGGGCACACAGACACCCATGCAAATGCTCAGGGAACCCTGGACATACCTTCTGTCTATTTAGCGCCGACCACATTCCCAGTGGTGCAGCGACCTGAGCTCACAAGCCAGCAGGACTCGCACCTCCCCCACCCCCTGTGCAGGTCACTTGCACAGGCACTTGGCATGCCTCACTGCCACTGAGCCTTTCTGTGCCCAAGGGACTCAGGGTGGGTAGGCACTCAGAGTAGGGCTTCATGCAGAGGGAGTGACATCAGGTGGGTCTGGACAGTGAGGAAAGAGGCAAAAGCAAGGTCGGTGCCTGCCCACTCGCCCTCCCACTGGGCCCAGAATCCAGCAAAGCAAGCAGTCCAGTCCAGGTGGCCATCTGGCTGCCTGAGCACCGGCTGCTGCTGACACAGGTGTGTCCGTGGAAGCCTGTTGATATTCTGCCTTGCGCTGGTGGATCAGGGATGCTTGTCTTCTTGGCTGGGCCCTTCCCAGGGGTCTGAATGAGGGCCCCAAGCCTGGGTTGACCCTCTGCCATGTGCCAAGTGTGGGGAGCAGCTGGCAGAGAGGTGAGGCCTTGCTTCTCGTTATGTCACTCAGGCAGATATTTGTGTTCTCTGGACCCACATATTCCTCCAGCCAATGGGGCCAACTCTGACCTCCGACCACGGAACAGCCTGAGTACCCACGCAGCGTGGGTTTTCTCTCCTGGCCTCAGGAGACCAGGCACCGTGGGAAGTGAGGACTGCGTGCTGGGTCGGATTGGGTGGTGGGCTGGTGGTAGTGGCCGCTGCGTGCCTCGGTAGGCCATCACACTCTGTGTCAAGAACCTTTGAAGGGGGTCGCCTGCTTGATTGCTGTTGCAGCCCAGCATGGAGGCACGGATGAGAAGGGGAAAGCTTGGGTCTGTGTGGGCTGAGGGCCGGCTGGTGGCAGGGCGGTGGCTGGAACCCAGCGACGAGGGTACCTGTGTTGCTGTACTGGATCGCAGACGGGCAGTTGACATGCAAGGCAAATCCCTTCTCCACAGCCTAAGGCCTGGGGAGTCCCAAATCAAACTCCAGCAGCACTGGCATCTGCTGTGCATCCAAGACAACACAGGGACGGTCACTGTCACCTCCTACGACACAGGTGGCTGGGCTCAGGGGGTCTGCATGCCCTCTGACTGGTCTGCTCGGGAAGGCAAAGCACACCCCATACAGCCGCAGGTGGAGCTCTGAGTCCACAGCACATGGGCAGCAGCAGGTGCCCTGCCTCTGCTTTTCACATTTGCTGAAGAGGTAAAGGTGCCGTGATGGATGGAGCCATGGGGAGACAAACAACAGAGTCCTTCACTCTCCGGGGAGGTAACAGTCTTCTCAGCTTGCCCTCCCCAGACTGCAGAGCTCAAGGTCCGGACGGAGGTGGAAACACAGGCAGAGAATCTTATTCCTCAAAGCTTCCTGAGGCTCAGGGGAGAGAGCCCACACCCACTGAGCAGGGGGAGCAGGGGCCGAGATCCTTGGGGGTGATTACCCCAGCTCCAGCACTGCGACTGTGAACCAGCAGGTGGAAGATTTCTGTCTCTCTGTCATGCTGTCCTTCAAAAAATCAGTTGAGTTTTTTTTTTTTTAAAAGATTTATTTATTTTTATTGGAAAGTCAGATATACAGAGCGAAGGAGAAACAGAGAGAAAGATCTTCCATCTGCTGGTTCACTCCCCAAGTGGCCACAATAGCCGGAGCTGAGCTGATCCAACGCCAGAAGCCAGGAGCTTCTTTTGGGGCTCCCACATGGGTGCAGGGTCCCAAGGCTTTGGGCTGTCCTCTACTGCTTTTCAGACCACAAGCAGGGAGCTGGATGGGAAGTGGAGCTGCTACAACACGAAGTGGCTCCCATATGGGATCCTGGTGTGTGCAAGACAAGGATTTTAGCTGCTAGGCTACTGTGTCAGGACCCAGTTAAGTCTTAAAAAAAGAAGAAATGGATAGACTGTGGACACCCTGTGGGCACTGAAGGCAGTGTGGATATCCTACACCCAGCACAGGCCTGGCACACAGCAGGCACTCTGTGGGCTCCACTTCCCTGCCTCTCTGGCGCAACCTATCACGTGCTCTGTGCCAGCCTCAGTTTCTTTGTGGAATGCAGTGCTGCCATTCCTGTCTGGTGCCGGGAAAGGCACTGAGTGGTGGGTTTGCCAGCTGGCAGGTATAGGGAGCTCTAAGCCCCATCAGTCACATCACCTCCTGTTCCCTACACTGGGCTGGGCAGCCCATGTCCAGGTCAGCTGTGTGTAGCCTGCCCTTTCCCAGCCCTCAGGAACTGAGCCTCTGCTTCCCCACACCTGTGGGCCTCTTGTACACTACCCACAGATCCCTGCACACAGAAGGTTCTCCTCCATGGGTGGCCTGGGGTGAGGGACCACCGGGAAGTCTCTTACACACACACACACACACACACACACACACACACACACACACACACGGTAGCCCCTGGGTCCACCGACTCAGAGCAGGCCAGGGAGACTTGCAGGCTTCACCAGCACCCAGGATCTTTTTATGAAGGCTGTGAATTGCAGGCTGGGAAGGTGCTAATGGCTTCACACTGTGGCTTCACACTTAGCTTGCTGGCTGAGTCCCGTCCTGACAGCTCGCAGGGGCTGGTGTTCCTCCTTTTGGGAGGGCTGCAGTGTGTAGCTCTGGTGGCTTTGGTGGCTCTGTTGTGAGGCAGGTGCTGGACCCAGACTAGGGACGAGGCTTGGAGTTTCCAGTGGGGTTTGGCAGGGCCACTCACGGGAGCCTGATGATGCCACTGTGGGTCTGATGGGGAATGTGTCTTTTTGAGGAAAAGCCCTTGATGTAGTAGTTGGCCCCATGTCACCAGGTGGCACCTCAGGCTGGTGTCTGCAAGCCCTTTAGCCCTAGCCCAATGTGTGTCGAGTTTCTAGTCTTTCCTGATGGCACCTGTGCATCTCCCATGCAATAAATCTCCTCCCTGCTGCCTTTGAAAAAAAAAAGACTTATTTTAAAATTTTTATTGGGAAGACTGATCTATGGAGAGACGGAGAAACAGAAAGATGTTCCCTCTTCTGGTTTACTCTCCAAGTGACCGCAACAGCCAGAGCTGAGCTGATGGGAAACCAGGAGCTTCCTCCAGGTCTCCCATGCGGGTGCAGGGTCCCACAGCTTTGGACCGTCCTCTACTGTTTTACCAGGCCACAAGCAGAGAGCTGGATGGGAAGTGGAGCAGTTCGACATAAACCAGTATCCATATGGGATATGGCACTTGGAGGTGGAGGATTAGCTAATTACACCATCACACCGGGCCCAATGATGAATCCCCTTTAAATAGACACCTGTGAGCCCGCCCTCAAGCAGGGTACCTCCTGCAGGGGCTGGGTGACAAACAGAACCCAAGTGACAGGGTCTGCATTGGGAAGGGTCTGGGGACCATCCCCTGTCTCTTTTGCATCCACAGGTGCCCTAGCAAGGAAGTGTGGTAGAGCTTGGATGTGAGCAAGTCATGCTAAGGGTCTGCACCGTAGTGTGGGGCTGCTGCCAGGCACACTTGATGGCTTAAGTCATGTGAAAAATGGAGCTCTTTCTGCTCATTTATTACGCACCTTCTCATAAACACGTCACACTCGCCACACTGCACTTACGAGCTCTGGGCCCAGCAGTATGGAGATGCTAACACTTACCTAATGGTGTCATTTTGCACACGGTTCTGGGCAGCCGTGCTGACGGCCCCTCCTGGGACACCTGTAGAGCAGCCTGCAGAGCACAGGTGTGCAAGCACTTCAAGTCCTACCCACACACCAGCTTTCCAGGTGGGAAGACTGAAGCCCACGCCCCTGGGTCTGGATGTCTGGCCTCACATGGCTGCTGAAGCTGCATAGAGCTGCGTGGAAGGATCAGTTCTCCCTGCTTACCTTGGCCAAAGTCTAGGCTACCACAGTGGAAGGAAGCTGAGGGGGGTGGGACTCATGTATTAGGGTGGGACTCACCTGCTTCAGATGGCAGGAGATCGGATGCTGAGTTCTGGGATGGCACGGAGCTCTGGAAGAGACCTGTGGGAAGATGAGGTGTTAACCTTGGGCTTGGTGGCTGTACTGGAGACACTCCCTACCCCACAGCCCGGTCCTGGGTTCTAGTGGCCTCCAGGCCAAGGGTGAACAGTTTAGCAGCACACGTGGCTTAGGCTGGGCAGGAACTCTAGTGAAGTCCAGGGCCAGCAGCCAGGAGAGCTGCCTTCAACAGCTCTGAATTAATTAACTCTAAGGTGTCAACAACGCACCCTTAACATTTACAAGAATATAGTGGAAGGATGCCTCCCATCAGCCAGCTAAAAACAAAGTCAGTAAAGGTTCCTTGAAAAGCTAACTGGGGGCCCGGCATTGTGGTGTAGTTGGTAGAGCCATTGCCTAAAATGCTAGCTTCCCAAAGGCGCTGGTCCATTAAGCAGGGTCTCCAATAGTTGCTGATACAGCTGCGACCCAGGTGTCCTGATGTGTGACACAGG